CATTTTATAACCTGTTAAGGGCAACACCCTGTTTGAGAGGCTAATAGCAAAATTGTGTACTCAGTTTTAAGACTCTCAACCCCCCAAACCCATACCATGTCCAGTGGTGTTACCCTGTAAGGCCAAATACAGGAGCTGAGTGCTTCTCCCTGGGCTGCAAAGACAGTTTAACTCTTCATTACTTTTTGTTTTTGCCTTAGGTGTCCTTGTGGCTGCTGGAGATGTCATCACCAGCAATTTGCTGAGGGAAGAGGCACAAATCATGACTTAAGAAGGACAGCTCGTATGGGAGTAGTTGGACTAGTTATTGGCCCTGTGCTTAGATCATAGTATCTTACAGTGGAAAGGATTGTCCCTGGGATTGCGAAAACTGCCGGCCTTAAAAAGATGCTGTTGGATCAGAGTCTCTTTGCTCCTGTTATGATATGCTTCTTTTTCAGTGTGTCAGAGACACTTGCAGGAAAACGACCACACGAGATTAAAGAGATGCTCCAGGAACGCTATGTGCAGACACTGATCACAAATTACAAGATCTGGCCCGTTGCACAGACTCTGAATTTTGCATTTGTTCCTATTCAGCACCGTGTTGGTTTTGTCCAAATTGTAGCAATATTTTGGAATGCATACCTGTCATGGATGGCTAACAAGCCGTCACCTGATGCTACAGCCTTAACTGTTAAGAAGCCTTTGGAGCAAGTTCAGTGATGTGACTTGCACAGCACCCTCTGTTTGGTTAGTTGATTTACTTGAGGTCAACCAGAAGTTATGATGTTAATATTTCCAATACAATTACACTGTAAAAGTACTAATATTGTTATGATTAAAATATTATCTTATATAAAATTATTCACGATTCAATGACACAAGTTATAAAAAAAAGGTGATGTTTAAAATATTGAAATCACATTCTAATCACACATCGAGTGAGGTTGAGGATGAAAATTCACATCTACAGACAATCCTTCAACTATTTCAGTTTTATTAAAAAGCAGACATAGTGCAGATAACATTCACTTCTTTAGTCCTAATTTGAAGTCAGAAAAGAAAAAACATAGTCTGTCACAATGCCCAAATATAAACAAGGTCAATTTCAGCTTTTCATTTTTTATTACAGGCATTAATGTTACATCATTTGATTGCTCTTAGCACCTTTATCTAGAAGGTGCGTAGCAAATTAAAATAGATTGGTTAAAGTGTCATTAATTGTGTTTATAACGTCGGAAAACTTTGTAAAGTATATATTAGAGGTTGGTAGCCTGGGACCATGCAGGCTCCGTAGTGGGGGAAAAAGCCAGAAAAAAGGGGTGAAATATATTTGTAGGAAAAATAACAGTGAGCGAAGCAAGCTTAGTGGTGGGAACGACTACCGAGCTCGGCTCGCTTTGCTCGCCGATTTTTTTTTTTTTGCCAGCATTTTCTCCTTTTCCCCCAATACGGAGCCTGGGCCCAAACTAAGAGGTTGGTTGTATCTTCAAGGTTCCACTGCATTTGGTGTTAGTACAGGGAATGGTGTTTACTGAAAAATGGTACCTGTACATACAATAATTATTGCTTATTAATTTTCTTTAGGCATATTTGAGTGGTTGGGGTGGGGAGGGTGTGTGTGGGTGTAACGGGCTGGGTTGGAATGATGCTATGCTATCATGTAAGACTGGAGCAGCAAGCCTTTAGTAATTATTCTATTGCATGAGTAGTATTTCTGAGAAACTAAAGCAAATCAATTTTTAAATAATACATGGTTTAAATTTTACAAAGTTGTTTTTATTATCAGTTGATTATCACACACTGAACAGTTTAGTGCGAGAACTCTTCGGGCAAGAAATAATAAATTATTATAAGGCTGTTTTCAAAACATTGCTGGAATGTTATTGTGTCACAAGGAATAAACCAGTCAGGTGCAGTGTGGGAAAAATAAAGTACAATCAACAACGGTGATTAGTTTGTGGTGTTTTGACTAGCTCACAGGAATTGTAATCACTGGTTCCAACACATGTTGCTGAACATTTTTAGGTGCAGTTCATGGTGTTCTAAATTGAACAGTAAAGATATTTGCTGTTGTGCAACAAATCGCTCTGTGACAATAATTTTAAGGGTCTTACTTGTGGGGGAGGGAGAGGGGGATGTTGCTTAACCCCTTTAAACCCCAATATTAACAAACAAATTATCCAGGCTGTCCTTAAAGTTTATACATTTTCTGAAAGGATTATTCAAGAATAATTTGTTTCATGATAAAAGAATTTACTCGATTGTGATCTTTTTTAACAATTCTCATAACCTTTTCATTTTATGATGTAGTGATGATGTTAAGAGAAAATCGTTGTTGGTCACTCAAACTGGAGGCAGGGGTGGCTTTATGATCAGAGAGATTACACTAGCCTATGTAAATAGGGATACCACAACAGTGGTAAGCGAAATAAAGTAGTCCCAGAGTTTTAAAAAAGTGTAAAAATGATATATAGATTTAGCCAGGGCTAAAAGCGAAGCTCTTGATAATATTTATAGTTTGTTCATAAAAATATAAAATCGTGTAATTTCACCTTGCATTGGTGGCCGCTAGCATTTCCCATTTTGCCACCGCCCCTACAAAATTTTCATGTTGTTCTTCCAACAAGAAAATGTCTACTTTGTTTTTATCTCTCGCTCTAGACCTCTGTCGCCCTTTTTCTCGTTGAACTTCGCTGGCCTGCCGCCTAATTTCTCTTTTTCTCTGTCTTTCTCCTGCTCTATATTCCAAATTTGTGGAAATGACAATTAGTCTAAACTAAATACTTTAGACAACACGGATACAGAAAAAATTTCCGTTTTCGTCTTTATTGACTCTTTAGTTGTCTCTGCTTTATAAGACGCCGGTGGCTATGCGATTTCCCGCCAAAATAACCTCGCGTGGCATTTGGGTTGCCACACCTGTTGATTGAGTTATTTTACATTGGTATGCCTGTGGTGCGACGGACGGTCGTTTGGGTGGGACGGCGGTCGATCGTTGTACGGTCACGTGATTACCCAATTTTCTCGCATGAGTAGATTACTTCATTTTCTTACCCTTGGTGCTCCGCTGGCGAACTTCGCGCGCGAGAGCTTCGCTATCAAGCTACAAAAGACGATTTAGAACAACAAAGAAGATGGACAGACACATTACGTGAAACGTTATGTGACGGTCAGATGGTTTTCCAATATCGGATTGAGTGTCATTGGATGTCTTCGCATTTTTAAACTCCGGTTGTGTTACAAGATGTGCACTTGCTTGACCTCATATCTTGCTGAATGAAATTGTTTTTTGTTCTGTTTTGTTTTTTTTTCTGGTCGGGCTGTGCCGAATCACTTTCAATACCAGACAAGCTTTATGCTGCCCCCAGGCTCTTTTATAACTACTTAGGAGATAAAAGAAAAACAAACAACCAACAACATAAAAACGCGCTCATATTTCATGTGTCATCTGTCGCGTTCATGGTATGTGAAAAAAGGCAAAAACAGATCGTGATCTTTCTGCAAAACATGAAGGCCAATGACTTGTTCTTCAAAAAAGTGAACTTTAATAAGCAATAGGACGGCAGAGGAAAGGAGACAGCAAACCTTCTGTGACAAGAGTGGCAATCAGTAATGGTTGAAAAAAATTCCGCCAAACTTAATTCAGAAGATCTTTTCGTAAAAGGAGGGGGCGTAAGGGGGTATGAATACCGCAATACCGCACTTGGTAGAAAGAGAAAACCGCAATACCGCATCAAAATTTACCAAATACCGAGACTGCAGTTGCAATTGGGAAGAAGTTGCCTTTTGAATAGTGTTTCCAAATTAAGGTGCGTCGATGTTAAGCATACGATAAACATACACGTCCGACCATCGCAATCGTCTTTGTTAATATCAAACGTTTTCAGTGAAACTCATATACGATAAGGTCCGATAACTGTCAGTCCATTTTTTCAAGTACACTGTAGGACAGGAAAATGTCGATAATCGATGTGCTGTTGAGGTAGGAGTAAGTACAATCAGGTAGTACTTACCAAACGGTTTCCCTGAATTTCCCCAGCCTCTTCTCCCCTCGATTTACCAAACAACGGAACTTTTTTTTTTTTCTGTAATTTTCGCCCCCTTTTCCTTCTTCGTAGAAAATTGCTACGCAATTCATAACGACCTCACTATTTACTGGATTATCTGACTAGTCACTCTGTTTACCATCTGGATCGCTCGCCTTTGTTTCGCGACTGGCACGAAAGAGACGGTAAGGTCGGTAAGAACGTTAGCCAAGACACATTTTAGGGCACTTTTTTCCGCGAAAATAAAATCTCCACCATGTCTAAGGCGCAAGTAATAGCCCTGACCGAGGGGAGGGAGCCCCCCGAGGAGGGAGTTCCCCTTTAACTTCTGTGAAAACGGATTGCAGGATTTCATTCACACCTCCTGGATGTGAGCTACAGTGATGTGAGGACAGTCCCCCTATTCCCCCCAAATCAGTGATCCTATACCCCCCCTCTTCCCAACCCCCAGTCCCAGGGTAGAATTGATAATCATCCTTAGGTTACACTCAGACCATGGGCAAATTAAAAGAAAAAAAGAAAGACAGGAAAAGAGTGATTATCTAATTAATTGTTTATGTAAAGTATAAAAGTTCATAGGAAGTGGCAAATTGACTGGGTTGATTAAGCTGTTGCTGCCAATCCCACTTGCTGCCTCTGTATGCCTCCATAAGGCCTTAAAACTGTCCGTTTGACTACTCTATTTTAGACAAGAGACTCTCCAACTCATATTTAGGCTATTGAATCCCCCCTCACACACACATGTACGTGTACACTGATTGAAATCTCCCACATTTTACAGCCTGTTCAGGGCGACATCCTTTTTGAGAGGCTAATGGCAAAATTGTGTACTCAGTTTTAAGACTCTCAACCCCCCCAAACCCATACAATGTTCAGTGCTGTTACCCATTAAGGCCAAATAAGGGAGTGCTTTCCCCTGGGCTGCAAAGACAGTATAACTCTTCATTACTTCTGTTTTTTTCCTTAGGTGTCCTTGTCGCCGCTGGAGATGTCATCACCCAGCAATTTGCTGAGCGAAGAGGCACAAATCATGACTTCAGAAGAACAGCTCGTATGGGAGTGGTTGGACTAGTTATTGGCCCTGTGCTAAGATCATGGTATCTTACACTGGAAAGGATTGTCCCTGGGACTGCCAAAACTGCCAGCTTTAAAAAGATGCTGCTGGATCAGAGTCTCTTTGCTCCTGTTATGATATGCTTCTTTTTCAGTGTGTCAGAGACGCTTGCCGGAAAACGACCACATGAAATTAAAGAGATGCTCCTGGAACGCTACGTACAGACACTGATCACAAATTATAAGATCTGGCCCCTTGCACAGACTCTGAATTTTACGTTTGTTCCTATTCAGCACCGTGTTGGCTTTGTCCAAATTGTAGCAATATTTTGGAATGCATACCTGTCATGGATGGCTAACAAGCCGTCACCTGATGCTGCAGCCTTATTAACTGTTAAGGATTGTTTGGAGCTGGTTCAGTGATGTCACTCACAGCACCCTCTGTTTGGTTAGTTGATTCACTTGAGGTTAACCATGTTTAAACTACATTTTATTTTATTATGTTAATATTTCAAATACAATTACACTGTAGAAGTACTAATAATTATTGTTGTGATTACAATATTTATATAAATTAAAGTTATTTACAATTCAATGGCAAAAATTATAAAAAGTGATGTTTAAAATATTGGAATCACATTGTAATCTGACATTGAATGAGGTTGAGGATGAAAATTCGCATCTACAGACAATCCTTCAACTAATTCAGTTCTATTAAAAAAGAAGACATAGTGTAGATAACATTCCCTTTTTTGGTCCTAATTTGAAGTCTGAAAAGACAAAAAATAGTCTGTCACAATACCCAAATATGAACAAGGTCAATTTCAGCTTTTCATTTTTTATTACTGGCATTAATGTTACATCATTTGATTGCTCTTAGCATCTTTATCTAGCAGGTGCATAGCAAATTAAAATGGATTGGCAAAAGTGTCATTAATTGTGTTCATAACTTCGGAGAACTTTGTAAAGTATATAGAGGTTGGTAGCCTGGGACCATGCACGCTCTGTAGTGGGGGGAAAAGGCAGAAAAAAGGGTTGAAATAGGAAAAATAGCAGTGAGTGAAGCAAGCTTAGTGGTGGGGAGGACTAGCGCTTGGCTCGCTTCACTTGCCGATTTTTTTTCTCCTTTTCCCCCAATGCAGAGCCTGGGCTTAGACTCAGAGGTTGGTTGTATCTTCAAGGTTCCACTGCATTTGGTGTTATTACAGGGAATGGTGTTTACACAGTGGCAGCTGACGTACTTTCTGTTACCATTCCTTATTAATTTTCTTCAGGCATATTTGAGTGGTTGGGGTGGGGAGAGTGTGTGTGTGTGTGTAACGAGCTGGGTTGGAATCGATGCTATGCTATTATGTAAGACTGGAGCCGCAAGCCTTTAGTAATTATTCTAATGCATGAACGTGCAGCATTTCTGAGAAACTAAAGCTAATCAATTTTTAAACAAGACATGGTTTAAATTTTACAAAGTTGTTTTTATTATCAGTTGATTATCACACACTGAACATTTTAGTTCGAGAACTCTACGGGCAAGAAATAATAAATTATTATAAGGCTGTTTTCAAAACATTGCTGGAATGTTATCGTGTCACAAGGAATAAACCAATCAGGTGCAGTGTAGGAAAAATAAAGTACAATCAACAACTGTGATTAGTTTGTGGTGTTTTGACTAGCTCACAGGAATTGTAATCATTGGTTCCAACACATGTTGCTGAACATTTTTAGGTGCAGATCATGGTGTTCTAAATTGAAGAGTAAAGATATTTGCTGTTGCGCAACAAATTGGTCTGTGACAATAATTTTAAGGGTCTTACTTGTCGGGATGGTGGTGGTGGGGGGGGGTCACTTAACCCCTTTAAACCCCAATATTAACAAACAAATTGTCCAGACTGTTTATACATTTTCTGAAAGGATTATTCGAGAATAATTTGTTTCAGGATCAAAGCATTCACTCGATTGTGATCTTTTTAAAAATTCTCATAACCTTTTCATTTTATGCTGTTGTGATGATGTTAGAAGGAAATCGTTGTTGGTCACTCAAAGTGGAGGCAGGAATGGCTTTATGATCAGAGAGGTTACACTAGCCTATGTAAATAGGGATACCACAGCAGTGGTAAGCCAAATAAAGTGGTCCCAGAGTTTAAAAAAAAAAGTGTAAAAATAATATATAGATTTAGCCTGGGCTAAAAGCGAAGCTCTCGATAATATTTATAGTTTGTTCAAAAAAATATAAAATCGTGTAATGCTAAGCGGCGAAGGCAGCGCCGGAGAATGGTGAAAAACAACAATAGGTCTAGTTAGCAAAAAAAGCAACTTTACACGTGCAGCACACTTTTTTTGTACATTTCTTTGCCGTTGTTTTGCACGACTACAACGTGAAACTTCCAGAAACTTCTTAGTTACACGTTTTATGGAGGAAATGTCGTACGTGTTCTCGTTCACTTTTTTTTCACTGCCGGTTTTTTTCACCTTGCTTTGGTGGCCGCTAGCATTTCCCATTTTGTCACTGCCGCTACAAAATTTTCATGTTGTTTTTCCAACAAAAAAAATGTCTCCTCTGTTTTTTACCTCTCGCTCTAAACCTGCTCTGTGGCCCTTTTTCTTGTTGAGCTTCGCTGGCCTGCCGCCTACTTTCGTTTTTTTCTCTGTCTTTCTCCTGCTTCATATTCCAAATTTGTGGACATGACAATTAGTCTAAACTAAATACTTTAGACAACACGGATACAGAAACAATTTCCGCTTTCCGTTTTCGTCTTTATTGAGTCTTTAGTTGTCTCTTCTTTACAAGAAGCCGGTGGCTATGCGATTTCCCGCCAAAATAACCTCGAGTTGCATTAGGGTTGCCATACCTGTTGATTGAGTTATTTTACATTGGTATGCCTGTGGTGCCGACGGACGGTCGCTCGGGCGGGAGGGCGGTCGGTGTACGGTCACCTGATTACCAAATTTTCTCGGATGGGTAGATTACTTCATTTTCTTACCCAAGGTGCTCCGCTGGCGCGCTTCACGCGCGAGGGCTCTGCTATTAAGCTACAAAAGACGATTTAAAACAACATCGAAGATGGACAGACACATTACGTGAAACGTTATGTGACGGTCAGATGGTTTTCCAATATCGGATTGAGTGTCATTGAATGTATTCGCATTTTTAAACTCCGGTTGTGTTACAAGATGTGCACTTGCTTGACTTTATATCTTGCTAAATGAAATTGTTTGGTTTTTTTGCCTGTGATTGCATGGTTGTGCCGAATCACTTTCAATCTCAGACAAGCTTTATGCTGTCCCAGGATCTTTTATAACTACTTAGGAGATAAAAGAAAAACATTCAAACAAACAAACAACATAAAAGCGCGCTCATATTTCATGTGTCATCTGTCGCGCTCATGGTGTGTAAAAAAGGCAAAAACATATCGTGATCTTTCTGCAACACATGAAGGCCAATGACTTGTTCTTCAAAAAAGTGAACTTTAATAAGCAATAGGACGGCAGAGGAAAGGAGACAGCAAACCTTCTGTGACAAGAGTGACAATCAGTAATCTTTGAAAAAAATTCCGCCAAACTTCAATTCAGAAGATCTTTTCGCGAAAGGAGGGGGGCGTAAGGGGGGTACGAATACCGCAATACCGCACTTGGTAGAGAGAGAAAACCGCAATACCGCATCAAAATTTACCCAAATACCGAAACCGCAGTTGCAAATGGGAAGAAGTTGCCGTTCTCAAGACTAAAATCCGCCTTTTGAATAGTATTTCCAGATTAAGGTGCGTCGATGTTAAGCATACGATAAACATACATGACTGTACGACCATCGCACTTGTCTTTGTTTATCAAACGTTTTCAGGGAAACTCATATACGACAAGGTCCGATAACTGTCAGTCCATTTTTCAGGGCAGGAAACTTGGGCCGTCCGAACGTCTGGGACGGGTAAGTTTTCCGTTCGGACAAGGAAAAACGTGATCCCAGTTGTCCGAATGGACGACTGAGTTGTAGAGGTCCAACTTAAAAATTCAAGAAACTATACTTACCTGTTTTCTTTGGATATATAATAAAATATTCTTTCCGTAATTAATAACCTAAGTGCTCTAAAAAATAAGTAGCTCTTACAGAAAGTAAAATAAAATATCATTTTGTTTACGTGTGTGTTTGATTTCGTCGTGCGAGGTGCCGCCATTAAATTCCATGTGAGTCCTGCTGTACAACATAATAGCAGGCTCACGATATCGCACGTGCTTGTCAGTCACGTTTCAGCGAGTTTCAGCGCTTTTCTTCAAGCGTCATGTCTTTGTCTCAGTCGACACTTACTAGCTTTTTAAAGAGGTCAGCACCGGAAACACATGATGCAGATGATGGTACTAGCAATGTTGTACATTCCAAAAAGAAAAAAAGCGAAGATAACAAGAAAAAGTATGAAACAAAGCGCATAAGAAAGTTTCAACCAGCGTGGCAGAAAGAGTTCGATTGGGTTGTTTATCAAGAAGAAACAAACAAAATGTACTGCTCGACTTGCAGAAAGTATGCTGAATTAGCTGACAAAAGCAGCCCTATGTACATTGGATGTGGAGATGGAGTTCAAGGATTCAGAAGAGAAACTTTAACAGCCCATTCAAAAAGTCGCCGACATTCTACGAGCTAAAATGAAATATGCAGTTTATATATATTATTACCCGTTAGTATTGTTGTGGTTGTCTATTTTTGGACAAGTAGTTTTGTGGTTCGGACAAGCAAAATACACATTGTACTTGTCCGAAGGGACAAGTCAATTGAAAAGAAAGTTTCTTGCCCTGTTTTTTCAAGTAGACTGTAGGACAGAAAAATGTCGATAATCGATGTACTGTTGAGGTAGGTTAGGAGTAAGTACAATAAGATAGTACTTACCAAACGGTTTCCCTGGATTTCCCCAGCCTCCTCTCCCCTCGATTTACCAAACAACGGAACTTTTTTTTTCTGTAATTTTCGCCCCCTTTTCCTTCTTAGAAAATTGCTACGCAATTCATAACGACCTCACTATTTACTGGATTATCTGACTAGTCACTCTGTTTACCATCTGGATCGCTCGCCATTGTTTCGCGACTGGCACGAAAGAGACAGTAAGAACGTTAGCCAAGACACATTTTAGGGCACTTTTTCCCGCGAAAATAAAATCTCCACCATGTCTATGAGAGCATTGTCTGGACTCTCTTTGCGCAATCATGACGGTCCCCGACTGCATGTGCAACTAGGGAGACACACAGGCTAGGGGACCTAGGGAGACCTTTTAGGACTCCTTTTAGGATTTTTCAGGAACCCATAGATTTGTATAGTTGTCATACTTTAAAGAAACGAAGCAGATCACCGCGTGACAACAATTTTTTCACCGATTACCGCGTCATAAAATTTAAAATTACCGCATACTTGTACTCTGAAAACCGCAACACCGTACTTTGAAAAA